TTACCCGGTTGAGTGAAAGGCTCCAGAAAAGGAGGCACATATTAAAGCAGCCCGCATCTGTCTTCATAAGAAGCGTGCACGTGCAAAGCCGAGCCTTGCCCAGAACCCCGGGAGCCATTTCTGACACACGGGCGCGGATATCCAACCTAGGGACGAACTGCGAAATAGTATATGTATATATACGTCTTCATTTTTCTTAGACTTCACTTCATTCGTTTCATTTTGTATTCCCCTCTCAACATCCACATAGCGCTTGCCGTTTCCTCGAACACGTAATATTTTCTTCGCGCCTCTTTTCTTATGTCGAAAAAAAAAAAAGAGAATAAAAAAGAAAAGAAAGAGGGCTGAGTATCGATTGGCGAAATCAGCGTTCTGCAGACTCGACGTAGCGCCCAGCAATGGCGGCGTTGGCCCTGTGTATACGAGCACGACGGATTACGAAAAAAGTCGATATCAAAGTCGAGAAATTGTGAAGCCCTTCCATTCGGTGGCCCTGGTCTATCCTACATTTCATGTAATAATAACGTACATATAGTATACATATATATATGTTTTCTCTTTTTTAACCGTGCTACGATGACATCCGAAAATCCCCGACTATACTCCGTTTACCCGTAAGCTGACAGTTCGGTAAAAGACGTGCTCGTCTTTTACCGAGCTGTCAACTTAGGGGGAAAACGAATTAGATCATTTGTTAATGGTGTTCGGCTCCAATTCTTTTATTTAATTTTATAATTTTTTTCTTCGGTACCGCGCGCCGCGAAGGCGGTGACATAGCTTTTGCATTACTGCTTAAAATGTGATGGCCAAAAGATGGGCTGACCCAACCGCCTTCTGAATCAGCCTTTGCATTTATTTATTCATTGGAACCTCGTTGACCCTGGCTGTGGGCCCATTCGCCCCTAAGCTGACGGTGCGGTGGGAGCTACGCTTTCGCCGGACCAATCAGCCGCTTTCCTTCCATCACCTGACGGGACATCAGGGAGTTGTAGTAGCCCCTGGAGAAGGGGAACAAAGGAGGCAAAGCACAAACAGAAACCGGTTTCCTGTACTGACGTCTAACCCCTGGTTAGCTCAGTTGGTAGAGTCCTCCACCGGAAATGGAGAGGTCCCGGGTTCGATACCAGGACCAGGCGAATTTTTTTCGGTCGCGCACCAATCACCTAACTGTGTTTGGACATTTCTGTCTGTCCTTTGTCCCTTTGTTCCCCTTGTCCAGGGATTATTATTGTCATTCTTCTCCAGCTCGCTTACAACTTTGCATTAATTGCATTATAATCCGTTGTAGTAGACAGTTTCCGCAGCCCGCTAAGCACGCGGATAGCGCTCCGTAATCCGCCGCAAGACCTTGAACTGTGCAGACAAGGCTGGCGGCGCGAGTGCGCAGTTGCAGCGTTTTCTTTACGGATACCGTAGCGGAGGAGAAACGCGATCTACTACAACTCCCTATTGTCAGCTTGGGTGTTAACGGAGTATGCATCGGGGCTTCTAAAAATACCGAGTTTTTAAAATTGTGAAGTATACAAAAGGCACAAAACTGTCCAAGACCTCTAAAATAACAAAATAAAAATGACCGCATCTCCATGTGGTGAATGATGTTGATTGGGGCGAAGCTCTGGTTGTGCTGATACACTGAGCCGCAGCATGCCGAGCTTTTCGTTCGTTTTCATCCATGTCAGAAAGAGAATGTGTGGTATGGAATGTGGTTATATACGCATTTGAGCATTTGACCTCAGCGCCCTCTCGTGTATAAACGTTGAGCCAATGCATGCAAAGTTTAACACGATTATATAACCCATTTGACCGCAGCGCCCTCTCCTGTATAGACGTTGAGCGGCTACATGCAACTTTTCATCCATGACATCCAGAGCTCTTGAGTTACTACCACATCTCAGAGCCCCCTACTCGTCCCGCAGTCGTGGCCGAGTAGTTAAGGCGATGGACTAGAAATCCATTGGGGTCTCCTTGCACAGGTTCGAATCCTGTTGACTGCGCAAACGTTTTCTTTTTTTTTAAGAAGACAGATGGAATTGCAATCGATGTGAGCACGAAGGCCAGACAAGGCTAGACCCTAAGGAGCTTCGCCCCTAAAAAGTCAAGAGAGAGAGACAGAGAGATGGAGAAGAAAAAAAAAAAAAGGGGGGGGGGGGGGGGACTTCTCTGTGTCATAGCCTTCCAAGAATTAACTGTCTTGGAACAACTGAATTGTTCGAATAGCGGCCACCACAAATAAAAGGATGCAAAAGGGTTGATCATAACAAAAAAGAGATCCACGAAAGGTATAGAACGACAAAAACCAAGGAGTTAAGAGAGAGGAACGCAGCAAAGTACCGGACCACAAACGCCGCAATTGTATACGATGGGCGGGATCCATCAGCTCGCGGCGGAGTCGATCTCAGCAGAACAGCCTTGCCTCAAGCAAAGGGCTCGCCACGGCCGTCGCCGCAGCCGCCTACGAGTCGGCACCACGACGAGGAAATCCTTTTTACGCCGTCGCAGCGCGGGGAATGCCGCCGCCCGCAATACCGCCGCCGTTGCGCGGGAGGGGGAGGAACCGCGTTTGCAAAGTGGAACGTTCTTCTTCTGGAGGCCGCAGCCACAACATGAAAACAAAGAGAACAGCAAACAGCAGACGAGGAGACGAAAGCGGCGATGGTCGTCGACGGGGTTGCGGCGACTCTAGCGCGCGCGCCATGCAGCCCCGGATAAAATACGGCGTCGTCGCTGAAGGGTGGTTTCGGTGGGGGAGGACACTTTGTCTCCAGCCGTCGTGTGTCTCAAGAAAAAAAAGAAAAAATGGGGTGGAAAAAATGTGGAACGCTTATTTTGGCATGTCTTGCTTTTAGGTCCGTCGCTGCTTTTTCTGCGCTCTAAACGCCGTTATTCCCGGAAGGAGGGGAAGGATTGAAACAAGGGGGAAGTGATATTAAATATCCCACGAGTGCTGGGCCGAAATATCTGAGATTGTATACGCGTTTAGTTCCCCGAGCGGAGATATATACTCTCAGATGAGGACGCTTGCGGAGTATCGCAATTTAGGTTGATGCTCCGTATAGCGTCGGTATATTGAACATGCCCGCGGGTAAACAGTTTCGAAGACACGAGAGTTGCCAATAAAACGGCAAGATGAACTATATGAGCGCAATGGCCTTTATGCGCTGCGTTGGAAGGATGAAAGGGTCGCCTTTTAATCGATAGTACAAGATAAACCAGTTGCGACGGCTATGAAAGTCCCTTTCTAGTCATATACTTGTAGTATACAGATAACACAAAGATGCGATTCCCATTAATAATGCGTTAGCATCAGCACACAGATGCCAGGGAAAAGCTGACGGCGTCCGTCTGTGGACAGAACAGTGGAAAGGGAAGCGCGCCGAGTAGAGAGGAGGAGAGTAGGAAAGGGTAAAGGGGAGAGGGAGGTGACGTCACGGGGTGGAAGCCAATGCGCGCGCGGATGCTGGGGAGTGACTGAACTTGCTGGTGAGCGCAGCGTGCATGCCTTGGTTTGTGCTACAAAAGGAGGTGTGCACCAAGTACTTGCGCTGGTCCAAGTAGGCGTCAAAAGAAGACGGATTGTCAACGAAGGAGACGAGATACACAACATACATTGTGTTCTCCAAAAAGGATACACAGCAACGTCACAAAACACACTTCCAAAGCAGATTTCCAAAAGAAACACCGAAGTCGGAAAAAGTTGAGGGAAGATTCATTGGTGGATCCTTAGGGAACGAGTTAGCATGGCCCTTGGGAAACGCCACACATCGTTCCCCTTTGGGAAACGCTAACACTGAACCCCGTAACAAAGATAAAAAGATGCAGTAAAATATAGAGGAAACAAAAGAGGAAGCTGAAAAAGAAAGCCAAAACAGAAAAGGGAAGGGGCCAGCGCTAGCGTTTCCCAAAGGGGGACGACCTGTGGGGCGTTTCCCAAGTGTCATGCTAACGCGTCCCCAAAAGTCGGTGCCACACGGCTTATACATCACACAAAAGACAGCCTGCATACAGATTCGAACGCGAGTTACCACCAGATGAATGCTTCGAATGTCTCGTGGCAGTGAGTTCAGGGAGGAAACTTGGCACGCTGCATTCGAACCACAGATATTGCGCTGACTCGTGTTCGCAGACTGTCTTTTGTATGATGTATACGAGTAGTGTGGACCGAGCCACCAAGGGATCATTCTTTAATTTTTATCTGGGTACAACGAGATCGAGAGCTAGAAATCGAGTAATGTATAATGGGCTCTTCACGTAAAATAACCTAATAGGTATGTTGAATACAAAACAAAATATTATACATTCTGCCTGGTTAGTCTGACAGTTGCGAACTCAATCGCACTTGGCGGATAGCAGCGTGCCTGATATGTTCACAGTGCGATTCAGCACGAACGCGGCGTCGGCGCTTTTGCGGATTTCACCGTGACATAGCGAGCATCAAATTTCATCGCTTATGTCGGTTTCCGGAATGAGCACCTTCCACCACACCGAAAGTTCTGAGGACAGTGTTTCAATTCAAAGAAAATCAGAACAGGAAAAAACTGCGATTGCATTTGTTCACGTCAGCTGTCGCGCCCCTTCACATACTCAGACTCACATCTATAACACGCAGTGAAACTTAAACGAAGCACGAGAGTATAGGATTAAGGCGAAAACTCTGAAGTATGCTAACACTCTGGCATATTTACGTGAACTGAAGCTGTATCACAGACGTCGCACACCATACAGATACTAGTAACTCGACATTAACGCAAAAGCTAATGCGCACTCTAATAAATAAAGGCCTAAATATGCCAAGAGTTCAGCTACAATTATATGGACGCGCGCAGAGTGGCAGCAGTGGAAACTCGCTTTTCTATAGAAGCGGAAAGAATGGTCTGCTAGGTACACGGACCACCGTTTAATGCATGCCTGTATGATAAGAAAAACACACAAAAAAAAACTAAAGGACACAAGGAACACGTGTGAATTCCCTAACCACAAAGAGAAAAAAAAAAAAACGAAGTTCAGTCAAGTAGAGTTTTGTACGCAAGGAACGTGTTGCCCCCGTAGGCCACCGTGTTGCCCACGCACAGCATGCCAATGGCGAGGCTGAAATGCCAATCCTCGCCATAGCGAAACTCGGAGGCCAGGAACCCCGTGGTGGCCAGGAGGTAGGCGAAGAGCGCGAACACGTTGAGCAGTCTGTAGGTGACGCTGCAGCCGTGCATGGGCCCGTCCAGCAGGGCGCACAGCAGGAGAACGCAGGAGACAAGGAGGAACGTGAACGCCGTCATGGCCATGAGGACGGCGTCGAGGCGGAAGGTGTACGACATGTCCTGGCGGTCGTAGTTGAACTTCATCAGGCTGATGACGATCACGAGCCCCACCAGGATCTGGAACATCTTGAGGACGCCCGACGGGGTGCGGACATAGCCCGTGTAGTAGGCCATTCTGGCTAGGACACCAGGCCGGCTGCTACCAGAACTGCTGAGCAGGCTCGGCCATCTTTGTTGATTCGCCTTCAGCGTTTCCAGTGGCCCAGCTACTGCTACACCGCGTGAGCTTCAGTTGGTTTTCGTCGTCTTTTTCGAACTGAAATGGGCATTAAGCTTGTTGCATCGCCAAACTCGCGACCAACTCGTGGCTAAACCTTCCAAAGGGACAGCTTTGGTGCAGCTCAGAGTTTGGGAAGTGCAAGCTCGCGTTGCGGACTCCAAGATTCTGTTGGTATATACTACACCGGTGACTGGTGTACTGGCGAGTGTGAACCGTTGGTGACCCAACAGTAGCGGTCGCACCACACTACTTTTTTTTTTAAAAGCAGATATACCAGTTTTCATGTTGCCAGACAAGCTTTACATTGTACTGATATCTTTATTATTAATTTGGCGTCTTTGTATCCAAAAACAGGTTCTATAACTGTCACAAAGTTAGAAAAACAACGGCTGCTCCAGCATGACTCAGTTCTCGTAGTGATTTTAAGCAGTTCCGATCTGAACACGCTTTATAGGGATGTTATAAAAACTTTTTCTTTCACGGCTTTTATGCATTTTTCCCCGTATTATGAATTGATTGTTTGCATAATGTTGCTGTGATGTGCACTGCGCGAAAGGGCACAAAGAGAATATCAGCGCTTTTTCGCCCTCCGCTGATAAAGGTTGTCTAGGAGCACAACACCACATTTGACCACTCAAGTTGCTTCCCCGAGCGAGCCCTTAATAAAAATCAAGTAAATTTGATGCCAATCTTTTAATTCTAATAAAAAAAAAAAAAAGGAAACACCTGCGGTTACTTTTTCGTTCTAAGAGCGTCATGCTCTGTATACCAGAAGCATAGTTTAAATTCACAACAAAACTGCGCCGGATTCAAACCGACGTGACTCATGTAATGACAGTCAAACGTATCCCTTAAATTCGTGCACGAGTCACGCAAAACCTATAGGTACACACAGTATGGATTTGGGTAAATAATACAAAAAAAAAACACGAAAACATAACCCACAAAACACAACCGACGGTAAATACACATCAGTGCACGGCAGCTCCTCGCGTCACGTGATCTAGCGCTATACCCGGAGTTTGCCCCGAAACAACAAAGGACGGTGGCATCTCCCACGCCCTGACAGTAACCGCAATGGACGCGAAACGATTGCAGAAAGGTCACTGAACTCGAACCTGGACAAGTCCAAAAGCACAAAACACAACAAACGACCGACGTCCATCCCTTCAGCAAAGAAATAAAAAAAAAAGTGAACCCAGCCTGTTTTAGTGCAAATATATATATAGATATAAAAAAAAAAAAAAGACAAGACGCGTATCATCCCTATTCTGACGTGCCCGTAATATCTGTAATGTAGGTATGTACTATATATAAGAAAAAAAAGAAGGAAGGTCTTGTCCAATGTCAAGGGGAGAAGCGACGGTTGGGAGAAAAAGTGGGTGGGGGGTGTCGTCCGTGGTGTCCAGCCGGCAACACTGCAATTTCATGGACGATGGCTTTCTTTCAAGCACGAATCGACAGTGGCGAAAAAATAGAGGAACCAAACAAATGTCGCGACTTCCGAAACAAAGTGATATCCTCGAATATATTTTTCTATAAATTGTTTTTTCCCCCTTTGTAGATTGCAGGTTTACTTTTTATTTGTCTCTCGTTATTTCGGGGACTCTGCGGGGGCTACTTTAAAGTCTCTGGGAGTTCCTCCGGCTCGAAATCCTCCAATCAAACGATGCCCGGAACCCAAACGTTCCTCGGAGACTTCCCCTCTGAGCGAGTGAGCTGTCTACCAATGTGTTCCTGCACCTGGAGATACAGAACATATACACATCAAGTGACCCCAACTTTACGCCCCCGCGTAGAAGAAGGAAGAAACAAGAATAAATAAAAAAAGGGATCTATGTGTGGATAGTTTCTCTTATTGATGAAAGTCATCTATAGCAGGGACCTTTTCTGAAATGGACATTGTGCCAATCCCCGATGCCGCGAGTGGTCTAGACCCGCTACACTGCAGCATCAAGCTATCAATAGTCTAGGGCCGTTTTATGGCCCTTCGAAGTAGCTGCTTGATGTAAGCAATGAGGAGCTTGGATACGATGGTTGCCGTGCGTACTTCGAACGGTGGGATTTTTTTTTTTTGTATCCAGTAATATATTTTATTTTTCATTATCGGGACGTGTCTTAGCTGCCTTCACTGTAATTCTCGTAAAGTCGAGAAACACTATACTGTAACTGAGAGTTCAGATAATATTAAAAAAAAGAATAAATACCAACCCCGTTTTACTTTAGCATAGTACTAAGGCCAAGGCTACAGGCCCCGCGCAAAGCCTGAAGCATCAAAGTAATATCTTGAAACCTCTGGCTATTACCTCCGAACTAAAATAAAATATTAATTTCTACGATACTAGCGGCGCGCCTTCGATCAACAAAGTTGCAGTCACACTATACTCGTACATCATACAAAAGACACGGAGTTTCTCTGCAGACACGATGGCAGAATTTTATGCGTGCACTCCTCGAGCGTCTTTAAAGCATGTTCCCTTCACGCACATGTGTGCTTCAAACATGTCTGAATGCAGTCTTTTCTTGTGACCAGTATGACGGGACCATCCTACAAGAAAGAAATACGTCTTAGTGTCTGCAGTCTGTGTTTTGTATCATCTATTAGCGGTCGTATCCCATAAGTCGTACGGAAGACAAATTCCTCAAAACCGTCTAATATACTGTCCAGACCGGTTATAACGAACTCGGTTATAACGAAATAGCGGCTACAGCAAAGCGATCATGATTTCCCATTCTCTTTTGCACTTTGTTATAACGAAGTCGGTTATGACAAAATAGCGAATATAGCGAAGTGATATCCGATTCCCGTTGACTTCGTTATAAGCGAAGTCTGTTATAACGAAATAGCGGATGTAGCGAACTGATTTCCGATTCCCGTTGACTTCGTTATAACCGCGGTCTCGACAGTACCTGCAACTGCAATGCAGCACCTATACGCATAGATATAGAGTACTCCGCGACAACTTTTCTTGGCAATGCAGTGGAAGGTACAGGCCCGCGTCCCCTCTCCCATTTTGAGTGTGCGCGGGCTCTCCTCCTCTCCCCGGAAATGGGGGAGGAGGAGAGCCTGCGTACACTCAAAATGGGAGAGGGGATGCGGGCCTGTACCTTCCACTGCATTGCCAAGAAAAGTTGTCGCGGAGTATAATAGATATCACTTTCCTCCCCGTGTCCTGCGTGATTCCTATATCAGACAACCCTGCAGCAAATTGAAGACAGGCTTTTGCGTACTGTGTCCCTCGAGGATCGACCGCTATTAGCGGAACACCGTGATCACCGTGCTACTCAGAGAGGAAACAACGTTGCCAGCAGCCAAGCACGTAGTCGAAAGACATGGGTCTGTCGCGGATGAAACATGTGCGCGTTGAAACTGCCTGCTTTTGTTTACTGTCTGGCGGGGGCAACGTTGTGTCACGCTTAGCGACCATCACGTTCGCGGCCTAATCACGCAAAAGGGCGCCATTGGTCACTCGCGTTATCAAAACACGCTTCTTTGATCTTTCTTGTTTAACGGCAGGTCGTATCGCAGCGGTCCCAACTTATCACCGCAACGTAAACGTCCGGAACAAAGATACATTAAATGCAGCGAGCAGAATCAACAAAGGAAACCAGCTCGGAGGTTCAGGTCATGTGTCACTCGTAGCTCCGACCAGTCGGAATGTAATCAAGCTGCTCGGTTTACGGGCACATGTGCGCATATCTCCCGCACACATCTCCGGTCGTGTGACGACAGACATGAGAGTTTTGCACGATGTGCCTGTTCTCGCACATGGACAGCGCTGTGTGTGTGTGTTTTTTTTCGAGTTTTGCGAGACGCGTCTTTGCAACAAAAGGGGTACTGCACAAGAAGGCAAGATTTATAAAAAATAATTATCCTCATACCAATGCAGGCCAACGCGTCATCAAATAATGACGTATATTGTTCTCCACACTAGAATTAGTCAAGCTGTGTCAGTGTCCGTTCGAACCTCTGCTCGCCTCGCTGTTTGTGTCCGTTCATCTATGTCTTTCCGTGTCGCTTTGCGTCTCTGCCTTATTTCTGCCCGTTTGCATGTTCCCTATAGAGTTGTGCCTAGTCTTGTATCGCCGCGGCTGTATATAGTATCATCGGCGTATCTTTATTTTTGCTTTTATAAATGATTGTTTCTCTTAACAAAGATGAAAAAAGTGTGAATCTAATGTATACAACCACAGCAGCAGCTGCGGCTCCTTGTCAGACCCTAATGCATCATCATGCATCTTGCACTTACGTATCTTCCACCTTACATGGAGGAACCATCGCCCTTGTCTGCTAGGAGAGTGACGCACTCATCTATAGCTCCAAAGCTATCTCTATAGATGATCTTCTGCGCTAGTATTATCGCCGTAAAAAAACACGTATTGCGCTAACGTTACCCAGGGGTGGCTTAAAAGAATTGAGCGCAAATAATATATCCGAATTTTGACTCGTAAAGGGAATAAATTGTATCGATTTCGAGCGGTCAGGCGCATAAGTTGACGCGAACTATTCTTCATAGCAGAAAGGCATTCGTTCGTGAATGCATGTAGATGAAACGTACGTATAGTTACAGCAAAAAGCTACACGTTCGTAAATAGCCGAATTCCCCCCCCCCCCCCCCCCCCACCTTTTTCGAAGAAAAAAAAGAAAATGACAAACGGCTGCAGGTCGCAAGAGGAAGCCATTGACCGCACCGACCGCAACGCCCGCTCGCTGACAAAGAAAACGTTCCGGGACAAACGACAAAATCCGGCGCCGTAATTCGAGCAATAAGCTGACGCGTGTCAATGTATTGAACAGGGGCGCTTATTACCGCCTCGACAGCGCGGAGCACGCGGCCGTACCGCTAACAAGAAATAAAACGCGGGCGCATGAAAAGACGTCGCCGGCACTCGG